TTGCGTCTTGCCCTCGAAACGTCGACTTGGACGGCGCTTCCAGCGAGGACTCACCATCGGCGCGGCGCGCGCGCCGCGTTCGACGCCGCGGATGCCGACGAGGAGGCCGCGGCAGCGTTGGGGATCATGCCAGAGCAAGCGGAAGCGGAGGCGGGCGCGCCCGCCCCCGCGCGACCACGCGCGGCCACGGACAGCGGCAACCTTCGCCCCGCCAAGTTGGTGCCAGGCGTCCTCGTCAAACTGGCGCCCTCGGGCGGATCGCCGCTGATCGTCGACGACAGCGACGAAGAGGCGCCCCGTGGCACGGGCGACGGCCTCTTCGGTGAAGGTCGACTCCCTGAACGCCGTCGGAGTCAACGCCCCGCACGCTCGGTCCGTTCAGCATCGGCGATGCCGAGGCCGCGATCGCTGGAGACGGGCGCGCGATCGCCCGCTCGTCCATCCGCGGAGCTTGCGCCGCCCCCACAGGCCGCTACATCGCAACGTGCGGCTCTGCGCCTGGGGCGACGGGGCACGCCATGGCTGTTCTCGTCTTCATCGGAGGATTCGTCGTATTCGATGCCGACGTGCGCGCCTGCCACGCGGGCCGCGCCCCGTGGCATATCATGCCTCAGGGCGTGCGTGCCGAGGATTGCAATTGGTGGCAGGTTCGGGGTGCCTAAGTAGGCGACGCCTTCGCCGCGCCTTCGTCGCGTCCGCCACGGCGGCGATGCGCGCGACGCAGCGGCGCGCATGACGATTCCAACCCTCGCCCCCAGCGGGGCGCAACCGTGCAGGCGCCATCGGGGACACACACGAGACATACATTGTGCATCTCGGGGGCGGGGGCAGCGCCTGTGACCGGGGCAGGGCGCTGCGATGGCCATGCTAAGTTGGAAACAAGTCAACAACGCTCGTTTCCTCTTGCCGCTGTCAAATTTGCGACTGCGCGCGGTCGCAATTGCGGCCCATGTGATTGCCGATCATGGCGTTCGGTCCGTAGAACCTTGGTCCAAACTTTGGCATTGCATTGCTGCCTCGCCTCTCCCATTGCCGTTCACCTCTTCACTCGTGCCTCATGGTGGCAAGGCCTCGCGTGCGAACAGGCACAAGCGTGCGCGCCGCGCGCAGCAGGCCACGTTGAAACGGAAGCCCTGTTGCGCGACTCTCCACTGTAAGAAGTTGCCTGGGATTCGCAGGACGTCGTCGACGAAGGGCGGCCGCATGAGCAATACATCGATGATGAAGAAGGGTAGAGCGGCAACTACAAAAGAGGCCCCTGGCCCATCCTACATTCCTGCGAAGCAGAAACAAGCTGATCGCCCTTCTCTCGCCGCGCTCCCTACATCCCAAAGAACCGCCGCGGTCGACATGGCGCGCATCAGTCCCGAGCTCCTCGCGCGCATCATGATAGAGGTCGGGGTGCTACCAGATCTGGGGGGCGAGTGCACGGCGCGCCAGTGCGTCGCAATGGAATTGAAACTTCGGGGCGGCCAGTCGGGCAAGGGCATCAAAGTGGCAGGTTTCAGCACCCCTCAAATGGATTATCCGATGTGGCGCTGTTCCAATTGGGACTGCCAGAGGCGATGGGCGAACAAAGCACGCCCATACCCATGAGATAGACGGAGGGCGGGAGCGCGCCCATGGGTGCGCGTTGTATGGGCATGGGCGTGCGTTGCTCGTCCATCAAGAGGCGCGAATCGAACCTCGACCCGAAGGGCCCTCTGAAGGAGTTGTTCAACAAGGGCCCCGTGAACACCACCCGCACCCTCCTCGCCATCGCCCATGCAGCAACCCAGCATGCCTCGAGCTACGAGCCGTCGGACGAAATGGCTGTGCATGTGGGGATACCGAAGAGGACAGCCCACCGCATCACTAGCGTCGTGCGGTCCATCTGCGCCCGCGTTGCCAAGGCAGAATAGGACGACTTTGCGTGGCCTCGCGGGTGCTTCGTTGAGGCTGACGAGGCGTCAATGCGCGCTTGCCGCGTGACTTGCTCGCAAGATTGTTGTGGTACGACGTGCGGCGAGCACCCTTTTTGGGCGCTACCGCATATTACATCACCGATTCATGTGCGTGTGTCCTCTGGGACAGCGCCAGCTGGCGATGCTTTTCGAGCTACCCCAGCGGACCTGTGCCGCTGGGGGAAGCGGCGCTTCACTCAGTGGGCCCGAGTGTGACGAGATCCTCTCTTGGGTTCTCGTGCCTGGCAATTTCACGCTTTTGACGGGTGGCGCGGGCGCGTACCAGTCAGCAGCACCGAAAAACCGCGTTGCTTACAGCGACAAGAGCAATTATCCGCCTCGTTTCAATGCCGTCCGCTTCAAGATGCACTATCAGCATCTGAAGCTATCTCACGGCATAGTTTCTCACGATGCAGAAAAGTGGACCGTCGTCGACCGAGTGCGCGTCGTGCGCCCGAACGGGCGCACCGAGGCTACCCATTTGAAAATAGGCACGCAATATTGCGATGGCCTCTGGCCTGAGATGCGCCACAGCATCCCTGACAGCGTCCACACTTCAGACTGGGAGCGTTGTCGCTCGTACTTGTCGGCTTGGGTGTGGCGCATGCGGAGGTCCGGCAACGACCTGCTGCAGGAGTTCGGCCAGTCTGTCCGCAGGGAAAGAGACTGCATGCATTAAGTCTGCAAATCAGAGCGCGCAGCCCGCCCATGTGCAAAAAGCGCGGGCTGCGACCGCTCGCGTGCAATTTTATCGGCGCCGTGCTTCTCCGCATCCCGCCCATGTGCAGAAGGCGCAGGCTGCGACCGTTCACGAGCAGTTTTTGTCGGCGCCTTGCTTCTTCTGGTAAAAAACACCCAAACCGCCCAGGCCTACATCGAATCGGGAGGAGGAGGAGGAGGAGGAGGAGGAGGAGGAGGAGGAGGAGGACCAGTGTAAACCCGAGAACCATCAACGATGTTGGAGTAACCCCTCCCTCAAAGTTTCCTCTTCATAAGCCCCTGCACCGGTTTATTTCCATTGAAGGAACTGCCTCGTTGGAAGACAACCGTTTGAAGACCTTGAAGCATGCCAAAAAATTGTCCTCGGGATTTTAACGCCACGGATCAATCTGACTGTTGCGTCTTGACGATCCTGAATCGTGCAAGAACGCCGTTCCTGGGACTCCAACGCCGCGAATCAAAGTAATTGCTGCAACGCGAAATCGTGAACCCTTCCAAATCACTATTTCTGGTACGTTGATCATGGGATTCCGTCAAACTCTTGCAAAGTGTATATATAAACGAATGCGCGCGGCGTTGAAGCGAGAACCACATTTTGAAAAGGAACCGCCCTCGCTCCGTGAAATTCTTGCACATGTTTTAAACGAATGCACGCGGCGCTAAAGCGGGAACCGCATTGTGAAAACCACTCGCCCTCAATCCGTGAGACTCTTGCAATTGTTGTTGAACGAATGTGCGCGGCGCCAAGACGAGACCACATAACGACCCACCATCCATCTGTGAAGCTGCTGCCAACGTTTAAGCTTCGGAGTCATAAGTGATGAGGAAGTCTCAGGCGAAACGCCCGGCCCGCCCTAAAAACTGGCCTCGGGGTGCGACAGGATGAATTTATTTCTCAGGTAAAGGAATGGAGGAGGAGGCGGAGGAGGAGGAGGAGGGGAGGGGGAGGAGGAGGAGGAGGAGGAGGAGGAGGAGGAGGAGGAGGAGGAGGAGGAGGAGATTCGTCCAAAGGCTCGCTCAAACTAACCCCGCACCGTCTCCATGACATCTGGGCAGTGCTCTTGGGCTTAGTCGTGCCCTTTGCCGATCAACATGCTATCCCCCCTGTAGTGCCCGTGTAAAATCAGCGAGGATGTCGCCACATACGCACACACACACACACACGCACACACACACACACACACACACATTCACACACACACACACACACACACACACACACACACACACACACACGCACACACACACACACACACACACACACTTTGAGGAGGTGCAGGCGTGCGATAACTGCCCGAATTCCCGTCCGCCCTGGGGATCCCCCATCCGGAACGAGAAACCAAAACTCCAGGCGTGCCGGCCCATCAAATTGTTCCGTGACACAAGCGTTCTGTCGAGTATCGCGCGGTGTTCCGCCGCAGCTCCTGTCCACAACCCAGGAGCAAAGAGACCACCTCGAGGAAAACAGCTGCTTTTTTCCAATATGCTTCTGATTCAGCAGGGTCATGCCAGCAGCTCAGCCAGGTCGCTGCCGGCCACGTCGGGGAGCGCCAGCCCAACCTCATCCTTCCTGCGTCCCTCGGTCAGCACAGTGTCTTGTCCCGCTCGCTTGACCACTCTTCGTCCTCGCCCCCGTCCCGCCGCAGCTGCCGCGGGCTGGGCGTGGTCCTGCACGCGAAGGCCGTGGGCGGACATCGTGCCTCCAGGTGAGGGCTCTCACTTTCGCGCCTCCCTGGCTCCTGATCCGCCGTACTTTGGATGATTTTCCGACCTAAAATTGTGTCGGAAATCGACGCCAAAGGAGCCTCAAGGGCGGAAATCGACGCTCAAAGGGGCCTCAAAAGTAGGGCGGAAATTTCCGCCCTACTTTCGAAATCGCCCAAAGTAGGGCGGATCAGGAGTCAGGGCTGCCTCTTCCCCCGCGCCCTCCCTCAGGCGCGGGGCCCCGCGGCGCCCCTCTGGGCGTAGGGGTGGCCCCCCCGGTGAGGGCCCCTGGGGGGCGTGCGAGGCGCGGGCCGCCTTCTGGTGAGGGTCCTCAGTTCGCGCCTTCCTCCTGCCCTCCCACCCTAGCCTCAGGAGGAGGAGGAGGAGGAGGAGGAGGAGGAGGAGGAGGAGGAGGGGGACGAGGAGGAGGGGGAGGAGTTCAGCTTCTGGTGAGGGTCCTCAGCTCGCGCCCTAGTATGCTCCCTCATTTGAGGGATGTCCTCAGGTGAGTGCGTGGGCCCTCAGGTGCGGGTCCCGTGGGGGGCAGCGCGACAAGCCGGCGCGTGGGCGCAACGGAGTGAAGCCACCGAATGTAGGCACTTGCAGCTGTCTATTACACCCCCCGTACACAATCTGTGTACTATATGTGTGTGAGGCCTTGCGAGTGCATCATCAAGGTCCTGGCGCGTGCTTCACGCCCACATGTGATTCATGAATCCTCTGGTGCGCTCATGATGCACCGCAGTCCAGCCGCACCACAGCAGCATGTAAGTTCCCCCCCGCCTGCTCTCTCCTCCACCCCGCGCCATCCGATCCCCAGCTGCTGAAGCCACAGCAACGCTGAAGGGGACACATGAGGGGGGAAGGGCAAATCATCAGAGAGACGGGTGGGTACACTCCCGAACTGCCGAAAGGCTGCGATGGCCTGCACAGTGCCGGTGAGTTCTCGCGGCGCCGGCAGGTGCCAAACGTGCACTTCGGCGTCGGAGCTGCCGTGCCAGGGCCACGGCACCAAGGCTCTCTTGATTCGCTGGTCCACCACGTGCGACCCGGGCCCAGATGGCCCCCCGGCCATATGCTGCATCGGACCACCGTGGCCTGCAGGGGGGTGCCTCCAGGAGACTGGGCTCACCAACGGGGCTGAGGCGCCCCAAAGCCATGTTACCTCAAGTCCTCCTCCTCCTCCTCCTCCTCCTCCTCCTCCTCCTCCTCCTCCTCCTCCTCCGCATCCCCAGGGACGAGCAGGGAGGGAAGGGATGGGGGTGGAGGAGGTGGGGGAAGGAAGGGAGGGAGGGAGGAGGGAACAGAGCAGACGGGCAAAAAAAAGACAGAGGAGGCAAAGACGGAGGAGGGAGAGAGTGCGAAGGATAGCAGCGCTGCGGCCGGCCTGCCGGGGATGTCGTTGGACGAGCTGTGCCTGGGCGGCGAAGGCGCGGAAGCACGGGCAATGCAAGACGCTCCGTCGGCGTTGTTGGCGCGACCTGTCCCTGGCATGCCCGCCCATTCGCGACGAGATCTTGCCAAAGTGACGACGAGGAAGAGGAGCAGAAGCAGAATCAAGAGGGGGAGGAACGGCACGACAACGGGGAGGAGCCAAACGAAGGGGGAGGAGAGGAGGGAGGCGCAACAGGAGCAACAGGAGTCCGCCTCGCCGTGTCTGGATGTTGTGCCGCAGCCAGGAAGGTTACGCCGTCCCATATTCGAACTAGAACCACACGCGCGCGCGCTACGCGCGCACTTAGGTTTCAGCAAGGGACACAGGAACGCCACGGCACAATGAGTGCATGCCAGGTTCCTCTTGCGCTGGACTTGAGCCACCTTGCGGTCGCCTCGCTCCTCCAATGTCCCTCCTTGCTCCTCTTTCAAGCCTGCTTCCTCCCTGCTTCCTCCTCCGGTTGGTACCAGTTGGGGGCTCGCTCGGGGGCTTCTTTGGGCCGGCTTTTTTTGGCCAGGCAGATGGCACGTTAAATACACAACTGCGAAGCGCCGACGCTCCAAATGCGCGACACCCGCCGAAACATCGCGCCAAACGCACGTTGACCAGGCAAAGGTTAAGATGGACGAGGGCGCCAGGTACGCCCCAACCAAGTGTCACCATGAACGTGATGGACTCATTCGGGCGATCTCTTGAAAATGTGATATGTATAGAGATACCCATGTAAAAAACATGGTATACATATATATATATATATATATATATATATAAGAGCTTACCGCGTGTGTGTGTATGTACATCGTACGACAAGCAGTCCACAAATATGCCTGGCTGGTGCCAAGATGAGCACTCGTTCGCTGCGCGTGGAGGCCTTCTACAATGCATGCCCGAGCGCGTCGGGCATGAATAAACAAACATACACTTTCGGACAGCCAAATCCGCCGTGGAGGGCCTTTCTTACTGTTGCAGGAGCAGGAGAAGCAGCTCCCATCAGAGATTGCCAGCGCAGTGAAAGCATTCCGCTCCGGACGGCGCAATCCGCCGTGAGGGCGCGGATGGTGAGTTGCAACGCGAGCCAAACGGCCGTTCATGCGAAGTAGAACCAAGCCGCAGGAAGAGCAGAGCCCCAAGCTCAGGTTCTGGTCGACGCGACGCAAGCGGTGTCACGAGACGTAGCAGGATGAGCTCCAGAGGCGGACGAGGATGCGTCGCGATGCGTGCGCTCGCCGTGCGCAGCAGCTGGCGGCAACAGCCGCGCGCCCAGGCGACGCTCGCCGCCTCGGCTGGCCGGGCGAGGGGCCGAGGAGGAGGTGCAGGCCGGCTGCAGAGCCGGGCGGCGCTTGGGCACGTGCCTGAAGCGACCGCGTCGCCGTGAGGCTCTCCACGACCGAGACCTTACTCTCCACTGGCCCCGGCTGGCAAGCAAAGCAGTCCAGCACACTCAGCTTTCACCACATGCGCAGATTGCAGCCTGCGCCCCACAAAACGAACTCGACCCCTTGCGCGGCATACACGATGCTGATTCCAACTCCTCCCAATCATCTCACCGCGGCTCCGCGAATCACAGCCCGGCACCCCGCCGATCGATGCCCGCCATCAAGGGAGGTCGGTCGGATGTACGGATGTGTTGCGGAACTGCGTCCATGCGCGTACTGCGCTGATGGCCTCCACAACACCGTCGCTCTCGCCGGGGCTCCACCGCGAGGCTCCGCCCCAACCAGGCGAAAACAAGGGAAGGGCAGCCGAAGCTCCGAAAGTTCTTGCACGCGCCGTCTGTCATATTTGTTGGTTCTCGGAGATCCCGAGGCTGCCGCGGCGGCAACCTTAGAGAGGCGGGCTGCCCCGCGCCGGGGGCGACGCGCAGATGGCCCGCCCCTCACCCCCCTCGGGTCCCCTCGAGGAGGAGGAGGAGGAGGAAGAATGAGGAGGAGGAGGAGGAGGAGGAGGAGGAGGAGGAGGAGGAGGAGGGGCCCGTCCTGCCGTCGGGCCCCTCCCTGTGGGCGCTTGCGCTCGGGCGTGACCTCCTCCAGCTCGTCCGGGTGCGCGTCGAACCCGAGCGGCCCAGCGACGTCGGGGCGGCCGAGCGCGCTCACTCCCCTCACGACCAGGTCCAGGTTTGGAGGCCGAGAAATGGGCACCAACACCAACACAGGGTCTGTCTCCACATGGGGAAGATGATCCTAGATTTCGGTGTTGGTGGCAATATTTCGGTCGCCTTGGAAGCCAGAGTATTACCACCAACACCGAGATCGGGATCTTCTTCCCTTCGGTGGAGGCACACCGCCGATATTGGTGTTGGTGTCAGCCTCTAGGCCTGCGACGGGTGTTCCTGCCCAGGCAGGTCCTGGCGTACCGTGATCGCCGCGGACGCCCTGCTCAACCTCCTGCCTCTCCTCAGTTGGAGCCGAAGCACGAGCTGCCCCGCCACGGTCGGCGTGCCGCTCACGACGCTTTTCCTGCTGTGCCACCGCGTCTTGGACATGGCCACCCCCACGTTAAGTCGGGCGTGTCCCTTTACAGGAGAAATATCTATACTAATAATAATAATGATTATAATTATATAATTATAAATAATAATAATAATACTCGTCATCATCATCATCATCATCACCATCCTGAGAATAATATTATTAATAATAAAAGTAATAATAATAATAATAATAATAAGAACAACAACAAAAAATCCCGGGTAGTTGCTCCACGCCGTCACAAGCAGCATCCCAATATAGATAACTACCATATACGTTGCCGCAGATCGGCGCTCCTGCCGCACTGCTTGCTGCAAGGGCGAAGGAGGGGCCGCCGACGTCGTTGTCGTCGCCAGGACATGGCCAATCCGCCCTCAGATGCACGGGCGGTGTGCAGGAGTTTGCAGAGCAGCCCTCTGAGGTCATGCACATGACAGGCCCGCAGCTGCACGGATAGAACGAGCTCGGATGCGACCTGTCGGCGACGTCACAGGAATCTGGTGTCTGCGTTGGTGCAATCGTGGGCGCGGGGGTCGGCACCTTGTTCAAAGTGACGCCGAGGCCACCCTCCGGGACTGGGCTGGCGCACGTGGTGTTCGTGTCGCGCCCGTTCGTGGCGTTCCACGGCGCATCGTACAGGTCGCACTGGCCCCTCCAGATAGACCCCCAGGGGTGAACACCAATGGATCTGCAAATCGGCAAATGACTGAATTCCTCTGCGCACAACTCTATAGAGTCATCATAATGGGGAAACTTGATATAGCATTTCCGCAGTGGCAGTTCTGACCAGCCATCTCATACCCAGGCCAGAAGGCATTCAGCAAATCATCAACCTTGATTTCTGTGGGCATTGGAGCTCCAATCTGCAATGCTGTGGGCATCGGGATTCCCACATACACAATGTCACCCGACAGCGGCATCGGTGTGGACCCATTTGCGTACATGCATTCGTTCGTGCTGGTACTGAAGTAACTTCAAGCCTTGCTAGACGCTGATTCGCGGACTTCTGGGCAACGCATGACTTGGGGCACATACTGGAGTATCTAGCCAGTCCATGAAGGTGTTCCTGGAAATCCTGAAAAGTAGAGTTCCTGCTCAAGGGGAGGTACCAACTGGGACTCTCAACGATCCCCGTATGCATGGCCCACGTCGCCTGCCTGTAGCACGCATCGCCCTCGACATGTATGCGGCAGCCGATGCCTTCTGAAATGTCTATGCTCTCTGCTGGACGCCGCTCAACTGAATTCGGGGATCTGCATGGCTTGGGGCATATGCTGGAGTACTTGGCCACGGGGTGACAGTGCTCCTGAAAATCCTCGAAAGTGGAGTTCCTGGTCAAGGGGAGGTACCAGCCAGGCTTCTCCACGATTCCAATCTGCATCGCCCACCACAGCATCTTCCTGCAGCACGCGTCACCCTCGCCAAGTTTGCGACAGCCAATGCTGTCAGAAGTGTCTGTGCTCTCTGCTGGACGCCACTCCACCGAATCCCGCAATCTGCACGGCTTGTAGCACATGCTGGAGTACATGGCCACGCCGTGGAAGGACTCCTGGAGATCCCCGAACGCGGAGTTCCTGGACAAGGGGAGGTACCAGCCAGGCTTCTCCGCGATCCCCGCCTGCATCGCCCACGCCACCTGCCCGTAGCACGTGTCGCCCTTGACGGATGCACGGCGGCCGATGCTTTCAGAAGCGTGTGTGCTCTCTGCGGGCTGGCACGGCATCGACTCCCCGCATGGCCTGGGGCACGCGCTGACCCACCTTGCCGCGCCGTGAAAGTGCTGCTGGAAACCCTCGAAGGCGGAAGTCCGAGTCAAAAGGCAGGTACCAGTCCGGAGCTGGTTCGCCGTAGATCTCGAATGGACGGCATTTTTGTTACCCCTTTCCTCCCTTGTCTTCTTCTTGATCGGCTCGTCTTCGGGAGGATTCGAAATCTGAAAAAGAATTATATCGAGATATTGACCACTTGCACTGCTCGAGCCAGTTTCAGGTCCGCATGAATCTTCTAGAATGGGAAACCTAGCAAGCGTCTCCCTCGACAGAGGTGCGGCAGCCCACGCGCACTGGGGCGTCAAGACTGCTCGTCGAGCGCGGCGCCGCTGAGTTCCCAGCGCGCGCACGGCATGGGGCAGGAGATGGCGTGCCTGGACGCGCCGTGAAGGTTACTCCTGAAACGCCTCGAAGGTGGAGTTCCTGCTCAAGGCCAAGTATTCGTTTGGGTTTTAGCACACCTCGCCATCGACGGATGTGTGGCAGCTTATGACCGGCTGCTGCATGAGACTACCGTGATGTAAATCACGCAGCGACACCTGCAGTAGCTGCAAGTCCGCACGCGCACAGCAGGCGAACATCAGCACCATTGTGACAAGCTGCCTCGTGGTCTCGAGCAGACTAGCCCAAACAGTGATCAGACTGCTAGTGCCAGTTGTATGTATTGAGCCACAGGTGGCTTGAGCCAAAATGGCTACGGAGGGGGCTTCTTTGGGCCGCCTTGGGGTCTCCTTCGCAGCGACATGGGGATGGTATGGCGAGCGCCAAGATAGTCCAAGAGAGCATCGAGACGGCCCAGGGTAGCCCCACGACGGTCTAAGATGGCTTCGAGACGGCTAATGAAGCCCCAAGACGGCCCAAGAGTGATACGAGAGGGCCGCCCAGATAGCCCCAAGAAGCAACGAACGCCCCATTTCCTCAGGGCAACGTACGGTCTTAGCACGCTCGCCTCTTTCGTATTCACAACGTCCAAGACGGCCCAACGGGCCCCCAACATCGTCCCAAGACGGCCCATGCGGCCCCAAAGAGGGCCCATGACAGCCCAAGAGGGCCCCAAGACGGCCCCAAGGGCCCCCAAGATGGCCCAAGTGAGCCCCAAGAGGGCTTTAAGAGATGTCCCAAAGGGGGGAATACGAACTTACATTTTGAGCTCTTCCCCCCAAGATGGACCCCACTCCTCCAGAAGCCCCCGAGGCGCCCACAAGAGGCCCCAAGAGCCCTCCAGGAGGCCCCCAAGAAGCCCCCAAGAAGCCCCCAAGAAGCCCCGAAGGGCCCCCCAGATGCCCCTAGGAGCCCTCCAAGAGGCCCCTCAGAGGCGTCCCAAGAACCCCATCGTCTGCATCGAAGAGTCTCCTGACCCACTGGATCACCTACACGATCAGGCAAACACTCGCTCCTTCTGGGGGCCAGCGGAATGGCGCAAGCCACTTCGACAACCAACACATGCGAGTAAGAGGGATCGCTTCCCTCTGCCTTCTCCTGACCAGAAGACAGGCTGACGTCATCGGGTACTGCAGCCTCGGACCAGGAAGGAGAGAACGATGGTAAGGGGGAGATCGGGAGGGGGAAGAGGAAGAGGAAGGAGGACAGCGTGAAGCAGCAGCAGGAAGGATTGTTTCTCATCGAAAGGCGTCCGGGAAACGTGCGGCCAACCACCGACGAATGCGCCCGGCCTAGAAATGAGTGGGCGAAGTGTCTGTACAACGCTGTCGCTCCTCCTGTTTGTCTCGAACGGCAATGATGCAATGCGCCTCCGAGCCAGCAGCCTGGCGCAGATTTACCACTGATGTTGTGTCCCTCCCTCATCGTCCTCTTCGTCCTCTTCGTCCTCCTCGTCCTCCTCCTCCTCCTCCTCCTCCTCCTCCTCCTCCCTCCTCCTCCCTCCTCCTCCCCGTGCAGCGCTCGGTGCCAATCAGGAGACATCCAGAGGCGGCCGACGGGCAGCCGCTCCCGCAAGGCGGCGAGAGGTTCGGCTGGCACTGTGTGTTCGTTTCGCCCACGCGCTCCCGCGCACGGCTCGGAAGCTGGGCGAGGGCTGGCAAATCCGTGGCTGCTAAAACGGTCTCCCCGGAAGACAACGACAGATTCCCGGAACCAAGCTCAGCGCACTAAATGGTGAACGGGCTGCCTCCCGGAAGGGAGCAAAAACAATTACACCAGGGAAAAAACCCAATCAGTGAATGGTTTTCGCTGAGGAGATCGACGGGGAACCCGGGAACCCGGGAACCCACCGAAATCGGCCCGGAACCAACAACCGGGAACCCGGGAACCCGGAACTGGGAATCCGGGAACCCAGCCTGCTACCAACATCGGCGGGAAACACTCGCCAAATCTTTCAACTTCCGCACTGATTGGGGAATTTCCCGGAGCACTGAGGAGGAGGACGAGGATGAAGGGGCCCCAGGACACACAAATAAATACACACAAATAAAACAAATCCCCATATGTTCCTATATTTTCTGGGTTTTTGTCTTCCCCCCCACTTCACATATTTTCCCATATTTTCCTAGGGATCGACGATGAATTGTGTCTGTGTGTTTTTTCCCCTCCTGAGAGGAGGAGGAGGAGGAGGAGGAGGAGGAGGAGGAGGAGGAGGAGGAGGAGGAGGAGGAGGAGGAGAGGAGGGGGAGGAGGAGGAGGAGGAGGGAGGACGGTCCCCCCCCCCCCCCCCGGCAGAGCCGCGGCGCCCCCCCCCCGCCCCTCCCCCCTCCCCCCCCCCCGGGCCCCTCCCTCCCCCAGGACCCCCTCACAGTGCAGGCGCTGATTGGGGAATTTCCTGGAGCTCCGCTGTATCAGGGGAACGTAAGACCTGGGCACAGAAGACTCGGAAATCCCCGACGAGGTCGTCAAAAAAATGACGAGGCCGAGCCTGCATTTTGACGAGGCCTCCCGCTGCAGACATCCCACGAAACTCCTCCTCGTCAAAATCCGAAGCGCGGTCGTCAAAAAACGATGGCGAACCCGAGTCCTGGCAAACCCGGGTCTTACGCTCCCCCGACTGTAGCAGCCACGGGCGCGCCGGCGCTGTCGCCCGGCGCCCGCGGAAATATAGATGGCTCTTCGGCCTCGGAGCAGAGGGCGGCAGGATGCCACCGAACTCGAGGGGCAGTCTTGAAACCTTCCTTAAACGCTGCAGCCCCCTGCAGCAGCGGCGGATTCTCAGAACGCTTCGGGCCCGCCTCGCCCGTCGCGGCGGGATGGCCGTCCGCCGAGGCTGGAACGGAAGGGATAGGGTTATATAGGTCGGGCAGGTCCCCCTACAGGCGGATGTTGGGCGAAGAATGCAAAATACGCGAAACATGTCCCAGATCGTCTCCAGACAATTTTAAACTTATTTTTTGATATTCCTCCCGCAAAGGGACATGCCCGACTGGCGGATGAGGCGACGCCCTGCATGCGAGGAGGCGAGCGCTCGCCGGAGAACGGGAGCGCCCGGGGCCCTCGCGAGCTGTCCCGGGGGCCTGCGGGGGGGGGCCTGTTGAGCAGATGTGAAGGGGCCCTGGGACACACAAAGAAATACACACAAAAATCGCAGGATTCTCCATAGTTTCCCATATATCATTTGGGTTTTTTTCTCCCCCCCCACTTCCCATAGTTTCCCCTATTTTCTGGGGAATCGACGATCGATTGTGTCTGTGTTTTTTCCCTCCTGAAGATGGTCGGGAGCAGAAGAATCAGAAGAAAAAAAGATAAACTTTTGGCGTTCCGCGCGGATTTCTTGGATCCGCGCTGGACCCCCCTCCCTGGCGCGCGGAGCGCGCCAAGAGGGGCGCCGGAGGCGCCGCCAATGGGCCCCAGCGCAGATCCGAGGAATCCGCGCGGAGCGCCAAAGTTTCTGTTCATGCCTTCTTCTTCTTCTTCTTTTTCTTCTTCTTCTTCTATTATTATTATTATTATCAATAATAATAATACTAACATTATTATTATTACTATAATAATAATAATAATTATTAGTATGAGTATTATTGTTAATATTATTATTATTAATATTAATATTATTATTATTATCATCCTTCATATTATTCTTATTGTTTTCTATGTATTATTTTTATTCTTATTATGCGTCTTATTATTATCATCATGATTGCTATTATTGCTATTGTTAATAATAATAATATTATGCTTATTATTACTATGATTACCAATAGTATTAACATTGGTATTCGTATCATTATTATTAGTATTATTATTTCTAATATTATTATTCTTTTGGTTATTATTATTATCATTATTATTAATATTAATCCCCACATCCAAAGTGGGGTTCTTGTTTTCTCTGGACACCCCGCGCAGGAACAGGAACACACACACACACACACACACACTCACACTCACTCGCACTCTCTCATCATCAAACTCATCAGCATCATCGATGATGCTCTCTCACATGCTTAGTCACTCACATACTCATCATCATCATCACTCGCACTCTCTCACACGCTCACGAACATCATCATCATCATCATCATCATCATCTCATCATCATCATCGGCATCGGCATCATCCTCATTCAAACATCATCATCGCCACCACTCATCTTCACCACCACTCATCATCCTCATCCTCATCATCGTTGAGTAAATTGTGAGAAGTCTCAGGCGGGAGCCCCCTCCCTATGGGGCCCGCAGATCATGTTGGTAATCCGAGCGGGTCATCGGAATCCTGTAACTGTCGTCACTTTTGGGCTCCCCAGGCCTGAAAATGGAGGAAGTCTCAGGCGGGAGCCTCGTCTGTGAGTGAATTGGGAGGAAGTCTCAGGCGGGAGCTCCCTCCCTATGGGGCCCGCGGATCATGTTGGTAATCCGAGCGGGTCATCGGGATCCTGTAACTGTCGTCACTTTTGGGCTCCTCAAACCTGAATTTGGAGGAAGTCTCAGGCGGGAGCCTCGTCTGTGAGTGAATTGGGAAGAAGTCTCAGGCGGGAGTTCCCTCCCTATGGGGCCCGCAGATCATGTTGGTAATCCGAGCGGGTCATCGGGATCCTGTAACTGTCGTCACTTTTGGGCTCCTCAAGCCTGAATTTGGAGGAAGTCTCAGGCGGGAGCCTCGTCTGTGAGTGAATTGGAGGAAGGTTCAGGCGGGAGCCCCCTCCCTATGGGGCCCGCAGATCATGTTGGTAATCCGAGCGGGTCATCGGAACCTTGTAACTGTCGTCACTTTTGGGCTCGTCAAGCCTGAATTTGGAGGAAGTCTCAGGCGGGAGCCTCGTCTCTGAGTGAATTGTGAGGAAGTCTCAGGCGGGAGCCCCCTCCCTATGGGGCCCGCAGATCACGTTGGTAATCCGAGCGGGTCATCGGAACCCTGTAACTGTCGTCACTTTTGGGCTCCTCAAGCCTGAATATGGAGGAAGTCTCAGGCGGGAGCCTCGTCTGTGAGTGAACTGAGAGGAAGTCTCAGGCGGGAGATCGAGGCGCGGGCGCGGAGCTTGCTGATGTTCAGGCCCAGCGAAAGGGAGTTCACATGGCAGAGCTCGGGGGCGCACAGCGTGCGCCGCTCGGGTTCACCCTGACGCACGCGTCCTACCTGACCTCCACGCTGTCGCAGGGCCAGACGCTGCGCAAGGGCGTCACCATCGACTGCGCGAGAGACGAGGACGCTGGCCGCACGGGCATGTCGGACGAGCAGTGGTGGCTGCACCTCTACGTCATGTTCTCCCGCGCCACGTGCATGCGGAACATGCTGATCCTGCGGCCGCCGCCGCGAGAGTTCCTGGAGTGCGGGCCGCCGGCGTCCCTGCGGAAGGCGCTCCTGGAGTTCGACAAGAGAGCGGTTTTGTCCAGGGCGGAGGCGAAGCAGCTCGCGGCAGAGCTGGGCTTCGTGCTGCCTTCCGCCTGAGCGCGGCTGCGCCTCGCTCGAAGCCCGCGGGGTTGTCCCAACGGCTTGGTCTTGCGCGCCAACGGCTCGCGGGGTTGCCCCGACAGCCTGGCCCGCGGGGTTGTCCCAACGGCTGCGCGACGTGACCAGTAAATAACGCGCCTGTGCTGGCCGTGGCGGCGACGGCGCCGAGGAACATCGACATGCGCGCTCATGCAACAGGAAGGGGAGGAGGTGGCGGGGCGCGGAACAAACAGGGGGGCGAGGATGGGGACAACGCAAGGAGTGGAAGGGGGGCCCGCGCCAAGGCGAGAGGAAATATACGCAGAAGAGACAGCCAGGACGCCTCACCAACCACGAGGACGACGGTGATGGCTTTTTCCAGATTCGCCCAGAGGATTCTCATGTGGGGTTCTTCCGTCGGAGTAATTCGTATTATTATTCTGATTATTATTCGGCGGACGGCCCCCGCCGCGCGCGCCCACTGCTGCAACCCCGCCCGCGTCGCACCATGACGTCAATGGCCCTCCCGCTTCGTCCGACGCCCTCTGGGCGGCCGCCCTTCCCGGGCGCCCCCGCCCCGCGCGGCGCCCGCCCGCCCACCGGCCTCGCCAGAGCGCGAGGCCTGCGCCGCCCTGCCCACGCGGCCAGCCGCCGGCTCGGCGGGCTCTCGCGGCTCAGCGGGGCGGGCGCGGCGGCGCAGCGTCGGGGGCGCGCAGACATTTTTGATCCGCGGGTCGAGAGCGCACCTCTTCCGGTCGAAGCTAAGCGGGCCGCGCGAAGCTTGAATTAGGCGGAGAAGGGGAGGGAGGAAGCGGCGGAGCCTCAGAGCGAGGCCGGGGGCGCGCAAGCATGGGCTAGCGATCCATGGATTTGGCGCGCGGTCGCCAAATCCACGGGGGCCGGGGGAGGCGCCCTCCCCAAAATGCGGCCGGCGCCGCCTCGTGCGGCGTCGGGAATCCGCGCTTTCCCTTGGAAACGGGGCCCGTCGCTAATCGCCTGATGCCTCTCCAGAGCGAGAGGCCTGCGCCGTCTTGCCCGCGCTGCCAGCCGCCGGCTCGCCGGGCTCTCGCGGCTCAGCGGAGCAGGCAAGAGGAGGAGGAGGAGGAGGAGGAGGAGGAGGAGGAGGAGGAGGAGGAGGAGGAGGAGGAGGAGGACGAGGACGAGGACGAGGACGAGGACAGGACGAGGAGGGGGAGGGGAGGAGGGGGCGGTCGGGGGGGGAGAGTAGTAGAGGAAGGAGGAGGAGGCGCGGGAGGAGGAGGACGGGAGAGCAGGAGACGAGGGGGGGGAGGAGGAGGAGGATGAGGAGGGGAGGAGAGGAGAAGGAGGAACGGAGGAGAATGACGAGGAGGGAGGAGGACGGAGGAGGAGGAGGAGGGGGAGGAGGAGGACGGAGGACGGAGGACGGAGGACGGAGGACGGAGGACGGAGGAGGCGATCTCGCGGAGCGCGCCCGCGGTCCAGCGGAGCGCGGGCCCGCCCGCGGCGCAGGCTGGCCTCGAGGGTCGGGCGCCCTGCCGAGGCCGCGCGCTCCGCCCCGCCGAGGTCGCAGTGGCCCCGCCCGTTGAAATATAACGGGATCGCTGGTGCGGGGAAGTGGTCGCCGTAGACCCACGTGAAGAACCCCTCGTGGCCAGGGTTGGAGTTCTTCACGAAGACGATGATGGGGTGCTCGATCGCCTTGGACAGGGCGCGGAGCATTTCCTCGTCGGCCCAATATAACGGGATCGCTGGTGCGGGGAAGTGGTCGCCGTAGACCCACGTGAAGAACCCCTCGTGGCCAGGGTTGGAGTTCTTCACGAAGACGATGATGGGGTGCTCGATCGCCTTGGACAGGGCGCGGAGCATTTCCTCGTCGGCCCACTGCCCGCTCCTGGACATCCGCTTGACGTACGTTGTCCAGGACTCCCCGTCCACACCAGCCTGGCGCCCAGCACGCTCCTGTTCATCCTCGGCTGGCCCCTTGAGAACTGCAACGGCCAGCTCGCGGAGAAAAGCGATGCCGTGTTCCTCGGTTTCCTTTTCAGACACAATCCAAAAGCTCACTAAGTTTATAATACAGGCTTGCAGCATTAATGAGATAAACTTAGTGGCCGTTTGAAAAGTCTCTGGGTCCTTGTCGCCTTTCGTCCAGGGGAGCCCGCTCGTCATGACGTAGCGGGTCTCCCTCTGTGGGTCTTTCTCCCACTGGAACACCGCACGGAACGCGCAGCTGCCGTCCCCGAAGGCCTTGAAGACGGGGACGCTGCTCCTCGTGCTTGTCTTCGTGTTCCTCCCCCTCCTCTTTCTTTCTCCTCCTCCTCCTCCTCCTCCTCCTCTCCCCTCCTCCTTCTCCTCCCCCTCCTCCTCCTCCTCCTCTCCTCCTCTCCTCCTCCTCCTCCTCCCCCTCCCCATCCTCCTCCCCCTCCCCCCTCCCCTCCTCCTCCTCCTCCTCCCCCTCCCCCTCGCCTCCTCCTCCATCATCCTCTCCTCCTCCTCCTCCTCCTCCTACTCCGCCTCCTCCTCCTCCCCCTCCTCCTCACCCTCCCCCTCCTCCTCCTCCCTCCCCCTCCTCCTCGTCCTCCCTCCTCCTCCTCCTCCTCCTCCTCCTCCTCCTCCTCCTCCCTCCTCCTCCTCCTCCTCCCTCCTCCTCCTCCTCTTCCTCCTCCTCCTCCTCCTCCTCCTCCTCCTCCTACCTCCTCCCCCTCCTCCTCCTCCTCCTCCTCCTCCTCTTTCCTCCTCCTCCTCCCCCTCCTCCCCCAGCCTCCTCCTCCTACTCCTCCCCCTTTTCCTCCTCCTCCTCCTCCTCCTCCTCCTCCTCCTTCTGGGGGAGAGCCTCCTGGCAACGCCCGAGAAGAAGGCGGGCAGAGCGCGGTGTGGAAGCTGCCCCTGGCGGCGCGTCCTCCTCGGAAGCGCGGGTCCGACCCGAACATCGAGCATACCCGTCTTGCAGTAGATCGGTTCCCGAGCGGCGTGGCCAGAAAGCGCCCGCCACGACGCACATGCTGTAAGATTTCTCGGTGAGCGCGTCGCCCCTGGGGGGGCGACGCACATATAGCATAGCGATGTGTCCTCCTTGGAGGCGCGCGTCCGACCCGAACGTCTAGCACACAGACCTTATCGCAGGTCGTTCCTCGAGCGGCTGGACCAGAAAGCGCCCGCCACGACGCACGTGCGCGCGCCGCCCCTGGGGGGGGGCGACACACTCGTAGCACTAGCAGGCCGGGGCGACGCCGATCCCCACCGCTTCCGAACGCTGCAGGTCCTCCCCACTTCTCTGTCCTCCGCCGTGCCTCGGCACCCCCCCCCCCCCCTCGCTACCCCCGCCCCCCCCCCCCCCCTCAGCAGCAGCAGCAGCAACAACAACAACAACAAAGGTCCGATCGGACGCCCGAAAGCGCCACGCCCCACTCGCGGGACGGCGAGACTGCAGAAGAGGCCTGCCGTGACGAGAAAAGCTGGCGGCGAAAGAACAGCGCAGGATGTACGTAGTGCTGACAGGCGTGCTTGAGAGGGGGGGGGAGGAGAGGGGAATCTTTAGATTGTCTGGGCTCGCTGTGTTCGGCATGGGCTAGGTTCGCTGTGTTTGGCATGGGCTGGGTTTGCCTTGTATTGGAACCTGTCTTGGATCTGCATGAATTTGCATTCGCGCTGTTTCGCACAATTTGGCGTTCATTTCACGATGTCTCCCCCTGCGCCTCCTGCTCCCATCTCCTCCGCTCCCTTTCCTTTCGTATCCTAGTGTCTCTGCTTCCGTTCCTCTCTTCCCGATGTCTCCTCCTGCTTTCTCCTCCGATGGATTTTGTTCCCCGCCCCCTTCGCCCTCGATACGTGCAGGGCTGCATGTGCTGAAGCTTCGTGCATGCTGAGTTGAGGAAACGTGTCAAACGTGAACCCAACCGTTGAAAAAGAATTATAGCCGGAGTGCAGTATCCCCAAACAGGGTTTTTAAACCCACTGCGGTTTCCAAGGTCGATCGCCTGCCCGTCCAGTGCGGACTGGCATGGCAAGTTAGAACATGGCAACATGATGTTTGCACATGAGATGTTTACACGAAAACTTGTGTGGCGCATTCCTATCGGGAAGCTAACTCTGGGGACCTCCTGGGGCTTCCTCCTGGGCCTCTTGTGGCCTCCTGGACCCCACCTGGGGCTTCCTGAAGCCTCTTGGGGCTCCCAGGGGGGGGATATCTAACATGTGGCCGTCTGGGCCCCCCAAAATGGGGGGGGGGGGCCACAAGAGCAGGAAAAATCAACGAATCGACACCAGATGTGTATTAACTTGACACGTTCTGATAAGGGGGCCTCCTCGGAATCTCCTGGGGACCCCTGGGGCCTGTCCTGGGCGTCCTGCGGCCTCCTGAAGCTCTCCGGGGCCTCCTGGGGCTCCCAGGGTCCCAGGAGGGATATGTAACATGTGGTCTTCTGGCCCCCAGCCTGGACCACCTCTTGCGCGGCATCTGGGAGCTCAGAGTTACGAGAATGTCTTGTGCGAAATGGGCCGGACCACCTTGCGCACGGCATCTCAGAGCTCAGAGTTGCGAGGATGTCTCAGACGAGACGGGCCGGACCACCTTGCGCAGGGCATCTCAGAGCTCAGAGTTGCAAGGATGTCTCAGGCGAAACGGGCTGGACCACCTCTTGCGCGGCAGCTCAGAGCTCAGAGTTTCGAGGATGTCCCAGGCGAAACGCGCCGGACCACCTCTTCCGCGGCATCTCAGAATTCAGAGTTTCGAGGACTTCTCAGACGAAACGGGCCGGACCACCTCTCGCGCGGCATCTCGGAATGCAAAAATGCGAGGATGTTTCAATTGAAACGGGCCAGACAACCTCTTGGGCGACATCTCGAGGCTCAGAGTTTGGAGGATGTCTCAAGCGAAACGGGCTGGACCACCTCTCCAGGGAGCGCAGAATTGCAAGGATGTCTCAGGCGAAACGGGCCGGACCACCTCGAGCACGGCATATTATCAGGGCTCAGAGTTTGGAGGATGTCTCAGGCGAAACGGGCCGAACCACCTCTTGCGCGGCATCTCGGAGCCCAGAGTTTCGAGGATGTCTCAGGCGAAACGCGCCGGACCACCTCGTCCGCGGCATCTCAGAGCTCAGAGTTTGGAGGATGTCTCAGGCGATAGGGGCCGGACAACCTCTCGCGCGGCATCTGGGAGCTCAGAGTTTGGAGGATGTCTCGGGCGATACGGGCTGGACCACCTCTCGCGCGGCATCTGGGAGCTGAGAGTTTGGAGGATGTCTCATGCGAAACGGGCCGGACCACCTCTCGCGCGGCATTTGGGAGCTGAGAGTTGCGAGGATGTCTCAGGCGAAACGGGCTGGACCACCTCGCGCGCGGCAGCTCAGAGCGCAGAGTTTTGAAGATGTCCTAAACAAAACGGGCCGGACCATCTCGCGCGCGGCTTCTCAGAGCTCAGAGTTTGGAGGACGTCTCAGACGAAACGGGCCGGACCACCTCTCGCGCGGCATCTCGGAATGCAAAAGTGCGAAGATGTCTCAAGTGAAACGGGCCGGACAGCCTCTTGAGCGGCATCTCGAGGCTCAAAGTTGTGAGGATGTCTCAGGCGAAACGGGCTGGACCACCCCTCGCACGGCATCTCGGGGCTCAGAGTTTCGAGGATGTCTCAGGCGAAACGGGCCGAACCACCTCGTAAGCGTCATCTCGGAGCCCGGAGTTGCGAGGATATCTCAGGCAAAACGGGCCGGACCACCTCTCGCACAGCACCTCGGGGCTCAGAGTTTCGAGGATGTCTCAAGCGAAACGGCCCGGACCACATCTCGCGCGGCGTCCCGGAGCGCAACTTTTCGAGGATGTCTCAAGCGAAACGGTCAATCCTGGCCAACTCAGAAACGAGAGTTGTGAGGATGTCTTAAGCGAAACGGCCCGGACCATCACATGTTTGTGGGGACTTCTCTGCTCCCCTTTCCCTTGGCCAGAGTTAGCTTCTTTCACAACAGCACCCCGTTCAGCAAGTTGGTTGGGGAACAATCCTCCATCCTCCTCCTCCTCCTCCTCCTCCTCCTCCTCTTCCTATTCCTCCTCTTCCTCGCTTGGCGCACGGTCTAGGACCCAGTGCTGGAATCGCAGACGTAGCGGTCTTGATCCAGGAAATTGTGCAGCCCGATCAGATGTGGGTAGACGGTGGCACACACCGAGAAGACCATCATGGCTGGCGACTTCCTTGCCCACGAGACCATCCCGCCGAAGCTAATGGGCAGCATCAGAGCAACGCTCCAGATGCACGCTGCATCCACAAACAGCTCCACAACAGATGCCGCGACCCAGTTCCTAAAACTCACCTCTGCACTCCTGCTCTGACCTATGCTGAAAATGCGGGGGTCAACGAATACAGCATATGAGAGACAACTGTGTATTGCAATCTGTTCCGAGAGCATGTCGCTCACGATGGAACTCAGGAACACGTTCATATGCATCATCGCGACACCCGGACAAGTCGGGAGTGATTTGTTGAAGGTGCGCACGGCGAATAGCACAGCCGCACCGTTGAGAAACAGCTCGACCCCCGCGGTCGTCAGGACTGCGGCCATGGCCTCATCACCATCGATCAATCCAATCATGTATCTTCGTAAAGCCGCCGCTATACTGACATCATAAGCGAAGAATATGCCCCAGCTTCCAACCAGCGGCAAGTCGATGCCCATTATACACCAACGCGTCAGAAGCCCAAAAGCACGAGCGATAATATAGCCAATGAGAACTGCACTTGCTGGATTTAGACTCATGGCCCTGGGTGATAGATTAACCACAACAGTATTGAACGCGAACATCGCTGCAAGGCAGAAATTGAACGCCACTCGAGGGTATCTCGATACAAATCCCATTGCTGAAACGTTTCCGCGTATGCTATCCCATGACAAGCGCCCCAGCATTGCAACAAGTATAGACAATACAAACACAGGGTCCACAAATTTGGGAAGCTCATTGCTACAGGTAGAGCCCGGATACAAGTAGATTGGCGTGGCGATCAATGCAAGGCAAAAGCAGACTATCCCTACTTGACGAGTGGCGCACCATTTCTGTGCACACAGGTGCGTGCACAGCGTGCCAAACGCAGCCACCACATAGATCTTGGGGAGGGACACCTGGGCGCGCGCCGTATGGTATGGGAGCTCCTGCCCGAGTCTGGTCACGCAGGAATTTGCCAGGCATGCGGTCCAATAGTCGATATCTACATCAGCACTGGAGGCATAGCCTTGTCCAACGCGCACGAATAAACCAAATAGAATTGCAACGAAAGCAAAAGAGAGCATTGACAGCACTACCGCAACGCCAACGAACTGTAACGAGTCACGTGCTCCACGGGAACAGGCCGAGCCCTGAAGAGAGACATCTATGGGAGCAGTTCGACCGCCTCCATCCGCGAAAATGTCGTCGAAGACCAGAGCGAAAGAACGACGCCCCACACTAGCATGTTGGGGTCCAGACAGCTGCCCAGAGTCAACACCCTTGTGCTCCTCGGCATGCGCATTGGCACTGGCAGGATGGATTTGCGTCATGTGGTTCCAGAGTGATATGGCAGTGTCGGTGTAGCAGACGCTGAGCTGTGCAAAACACGAGCGGCTGGAATCGCCACATACCAAACACGTTGAGCCAACATTGCTGCGGAGGGGCTTCTGACGGCCATGTTGGGATGCCTTGGGCCTTCTGGGGCCATGCTGGCGGACCTGGGGAATCTGGGGGGCCGTCGCAGGGCGGTCTAGTGCAGTCTTGGAACCGTCTTGGAGCCACCTTGAAGGCTTCATGGGTGCATGGAGACACCTTGAATGCTTCATGGGTGCATGTGGGCCATCTGGAGCCAAAAAGATGAGGGTGAGGAGCCATGTAGTGCGGGCGCGGCTGCAAGAAACCCTCGCAAGAAATCCAACCCTGAAAGTCCGCGCTCGAGGTGCACCTGAGCCCGGAGCACCCTGAACGCAGCAGCTTCTTTGACGGTTGCGGGAAGTCACCGCGCAGCGCGCGGAGCGAAGAAACCCAGGGCACCCTGACGAAAGGCAAATGGTTCCGTGGTGCGCGCCCCCACTGTACTAGAGCGTCTTGGGGTCACTTTGGCGCTGCCTTGGGACCTCTTGGGTGATCCGCTGGTGCCTGTTCGGCGGTGCCGGGAGCGGCCAAGAGGGGGGTGTCCAAGAGGGGGGGGGTGCAAATCATGACCGGCGGCACGTGCGCGGCCCAGCGGGGGGGCCAGGGACGTAATAAAATAAGAAGAGGCGCCACGAAATCTGGGGAGATATCATGGCCCACGCCATGGTATCCCCCCCCCCCCTAGTCATCACCCCCCTCTTTTCCGCCCCCGACGGTGGGCTCCCCCGGGAGCCGGCTGGGGCCTCCTGGCGTTCGCCGGGACCTCGCGGGACCAGCCCGGCGGGTTCGAAGCAAGCTGGGCGGGCGCTGTGGCCGGACTGGGCCGCTGTTGGGATATCTGTCGCAGCCGTCTGGGAGGATCTGGGAGGAGGAGGAGGAGGAGGAGGAGGAGGAGGAGGAGGAGGAGGAGGAGGAGGAGGAGGGAGGGGAAGGCGGGGAGGACGAGGAGGAGGAGGAAGAAGAAGAGGAGGAGGAGAGGAGGAGTAGAAAAGGAGGAGGAGGAGGACCAGTGTAAAACCAACAATCATCAACGATGTTGGAATTGTACCCTCCCTCCAAGCTCCCTCTTCATAGGTCCCCACAACGGTTCATTTCCATTGAGGGAACTGCCTCGTTGGAAGCCGTTCGAAGATCCTGAAGCATACCAACACATTGTTCTCAGGATTTCAACGCCACGTATCAACCTGACTGCTGCGTCTTGACGATCCGAAATCGTCCCATAGCGCCATTTTGGGGACTTCAACACCGCGAATCAACATAACTGTTGTACCCGCATAATCCTGAGTACTTCTAAAACACCATTTCTGGTACGTTGACCATGGGAATCCGTGAAATAAACGCAAAAGTTGAAAACGATGCGCGCGGCGCTGAAGCGAGAACCACATGTTGAAAAGGAACCGCCCTCTATCCATGAAACTATTGCACATGTTGAAAAAGAATGCGCGCGGTGCTTAGGCGAGAACCACATTTTAGAGAAAAAAAAAAAACAAAAAAAAAAACGCCCTCAACCCGCGAAGCTCTTGCAAATGTTGAAAACGATGTGCGCGGCGCTAAAGCGAAAACCACATTTTGAAAAGGAACCGCCCTCAATCCACGAAACGCTCGCAAGTTTTTAAAAGCGAATGTGCGCGGCGCTAAGGCGAACGCCACATTTTGAAAACCACCCGCCCTAAATCCGTGAAGCTGTTGCAAAGTTTTAAAACAAATGTGCGCGGCACTACAGCGAGAGCCACATTTTGAAAACGACCCGCCTTCAATCCGTGAAACTGTTGCTAAATGTATAAAGCGACTGCGCGCGGCGCTAAGACGAGAACCACATTTTGAAAACGGCCCGCACTCCATCTGAGAAGCGGTTGTCACCCTTTAAGCTTCAGAGCCACAAATGGTGAGGAAGTCTCGGGCGAAACGCCTGGCCCGCCGTAGAAACGGGCCTCGGGGTGCGACAAAAAGGAGTTATCTATGAGGCATAGCACAATCTTCTGCGTGGCCGCCGGGCCCGGCGGGCCCCCCGGGCCCGCCCGCCGGGCCCGCCGAGCCCGCCGGGCCCGCCGGAATGCAGCCACAGGCAGCCTTCCCAACCTAGGAGAGGTTGGCCGCGCCCGCGCTGCAGGGCCCCCCGACGGCACCAGCACCTGCGGGCGCGGCTGGCAGCAGCTGCCACGCAGCCCGCCGCACGTGTACCTGACAACCTGGCACGCAGCACGCATTACAGTGAGGGCATTTACACACACATACACACACACACATAGCGCAGCGCCCCCCCCAGCGCCCACTGATTTTCATCGCGGTTCGCGCTGATCGCACTCACATTTTCTTACTGCCAGATTCGGTTCTCGCCCTGAGACGGCGGCATCGAATAATGAACGTCATCTGGAGAGCCAACCACTTGATCCTGCATCTCCTTCCCCTCTTTCCCCTCTTTCCCCTCGTCCATCCTCCTCCATCCTCCTCCTCCTCCTCCTCCTCCTCCTCCTCCTCCTCCTCCTCCTCCTCCTCCTCCTCCTCAACCTCAGAAGATGCAAGCGTCCGCTTCCCCCGCCTTTGGGAGAACAGGTATAAGATATCAGCGGCAGCGCTAACGAGAACGATAAGCGAACCATATGATTTCTCAGGCATTCCAGGGATGCACAGGGATGCTATGTGACGATCGCTGTGCAGGCTCAGGGATCCCAGGGATTCCAGGGATGCGAAGTCACGATCCCTGAGCAGGCTCAGGGACCCCAGGGCTTCCAGGGATGCGAAGTCACGATCCCTGTGCAGGCTCAGGGATCCCAGGGATCCCAGGGATTCCTAACCCTCCAGCAAAACCGACCTGGGGATCCACCAGCGATCCCGCGCTCAGAATCCCTGGGATCCCTGAGCCTGCTCAGGGATCGCGACGCCGGTTGTCAGCAAACCATATGATTTCTTAAGGATTCCAAGGATTCCAAGGATGGCAAGTCACGATCCCTGAGCAGGCTCAGGGATCCCAGGGATTCCAGGGATGCGAAGTCACGATGCCTGTGCAGGCTCAGGGATCCCAGGGATCCCAAGGATTCCTAATCCTCCAGCAAAACCGACTTGAGGATCCACCAGCGATCCCGCGCTCAGAATCCCTGGGGTCCCTGAGCCTGCTCAGGGATCGCGGCGTCGGTGGTCAGCCAAACATATGATGTCTCAGGGATCCCGGGGATTCCAGGGATGCCAAGTCACGATCCCTGAGCAGGCTCAGAGATCCCAAGGATTCCAGGGATGCGAAGTCACGATCCCTGTGCAGGCTCAGGGATCCCAGGGATCCCATGGATTCCTAACCCTCCAGCAAAACCGACCTGGGGATCCACCACGATCCCGCGATCACAGAAGTCCTGGGATCCCGGCAGGGGCACAGGGATCGCACGTCGGTGTCAGCAAGCCATCGAATGTCTCAGGATCCCAAGGGATTCCAGGGGATGCTGAAAGTCACGATCCCAGAACAGGCTCAGGGATCCCAGTGGATTTCCAGGGATGCGAAGTCACGTTTCCCTGTTGCAGGCTTCCATGGATCCCAGGATCCAGGGGATTCCCAACCCCCCAAATCTTTGCGAAGTCGCCATGCCGATTTTGCTGGAGGGTCAGGAATCCCTGGAATCCCTGGGATCCCTGAGCCTGCACAGGGATGGTGACGTCGCATCCCTGGAATCCCTGGGATCCCTGAGCCTGCTCAGGGATCGTGACTTGGCATCCCTGGAATCCCTGGGATCCCTGAGACATCATATGGTTTGCTGACCACCGACGTCGCGATCCCTGAGCAGGCTCAGGGATCCCAGGGATTCTGAGCGCGGGATCGCTGGTGGATCCCCAGGTCGGTTTTGCTGGAGGATTAGGAATCCCTGGGATCCCTGGGATCCCTGAGCCTGCACAGGGATCGTGACTTCGCATCCCTGGAATCCCTGGGATCCCTGAGCCTGCTCAGGGATCGTGACTTGGC